CGTCCGCCACTCTTTGCTGAGAGATGATACGGAAGCTAGGTTGTTTTATGCATTTGTATTTTTCATTTTTGCGGACTTTTATTGGCCTGGAGATAAGACGTGGCGACGACCGCAAGTTTGTCACGTTCCACTTCTCGGTTTGATCTAAAGTACGTGACCCGAGGTTCCTGCGGCGTTATCCATTTCCTTTTATGAGGTGATTCACGGCCTCGGCTTCTTGCTCCTCGATATAAAAAGCACCCGGCACGCGTCTGCCTAAATAAATTAAGCCCTTTTTTCCCCCTGTCCTGTTAGTTTAAGCCGTTCGTTTTATTTCGAGAAGGGCTCCGGTGTGTTTGTTACAAGAGCAATATCCTAAAGCACAAAAGTTAGGCCATATTTCTGGTTGACTCTGACGCAAAATTCGAATGAAATTTTATATTTTAAATGACAGCGTGGTTACACCGGTGAAATTGGGTTAATAAATCCGCAAAATTTTTCAATAATTCAATTTCATCCCCTTTTAAAGCAATGTTTACACATGGTGTCCCATGAGCAGACGTCAATTCTTCGAGAGATTATCGTACATATCAAATTGAACTAAAAAGTCCAATTCTCCATTGTATTGGAGATACTTTTCAACTTACTTCATCCTTACACAACTTTATTCCATTAATTCCAGCGTATCTCATAAAATTTTAATCCTTCTATAAAATTAATCAAATTAATTGAAAAAAATCCTGTGGTATTCATATTGTTTTTCTAACCTTAGGCAAGCAAATTACGAAATCAGTTATGAAATAAATTTTTTCGTGTTTCCAAAGTTCTTCCCTTAAGTTTAAGACAAATTTTCTTAGTCCTGTAAACACTTACTGATATGAATCGGCTGTAAATATATTACTTACTTTCTCAAAGGTAGTTCATCACCAATGTAAATACAACCCCATTGGTAGTGATAAAAGTCCGGTTCTAGCGCAGGGAATACTGGAGCACTTGTTGGGGTCTGATGGGGACATGACTTCATGGGATTTCACGATGTTATGACGTTAATGTTCCTTTTCCCACATGCGCCAGTAGCTCCTTGCAATGACGTCATGTGCGCTAGTATTCCCGTTCAGTGTTGTCATAAGACAAGAAACAGTGACGTCATAACATCGTCAACCCCATCGAGTCATGCCCCATCAGACCCCTGCAAGTGCGCCAGTATTCCCTGAGCCAGAGCCGGCCGTTTATCACTACTCCCATTATATTTCGTGGTTCTTTTGACCAAATAACTTCTTGCAATTAATAAATCTTTGTTTAAGGTATTGGTTAAAATGAAAAAGTTAGTGGCATGAGCGGGATTCGAACCCACGTCCTTCGGCCTCAATACGCCGCTGCTCTAACCACTTGAACTATCGTGATTTCGATTCCACTCGGAGCCGAAGGTCGCGGGTTCGAATCCCGCTCGTGACACTATTTTTTTTCATTTCAACCAATACCTTACATAAAGATTAATTAATGTAAATGCAACGTTTAATTGCTAAAAAATGGATTTTTTCGTTACCAAGCTTGGAGGAGTGTCAATAACTACAAAATCATAGCTAGTTAGATCTGCTAAAGCTTCTTTTAATCTGCATTGTTTGGCTGTCTGGGTTAATACTGTATCCACTTTAGTGAGTGAAGGTGTAACACAAAATTCGCTTGATGTTAGCTGAGCTTTCTCTGCTTGTATTCTTCCAGCTACTAATACTTCTTACGTGGTGTAATCACAATTTCCTGCGTCTATAGCGTTGAGGTTTCCTTGCTAGTCTAGGTCCAAGAATAATAGAAAAAAATTAGTCATAAAGGTGTTAAAATTTCTTTTAAAAATGATGAATATATATATCGTCTTAATCTCTTTGCGACTTAGCCTGACAGTGTTCTAAATGTAAAGCCGCAAAAAAATAGACGGTTTTGCATAAAAATGAAATAAGCGGTCCTGTCCTGAGGATTTTATCCCTGTTTTTATGGTTGGAAATAGGTTCGAGGACGCCGAAGACGAATAGGCCGTGAGATATTTGCATGTTCCTTAACTGGCAGGCACGGTAGGAAGAGAAGGAAGATGTAAAACTTCTTTTACCTCTTTACGAGCACTTTTGAACGCCGCTTCCCGGGCCGACTGACTCTATTTCCCGAGGCAATTCGCTGACTCGTTTGTTTAACAGGCCGACTCACGCAGACGCCTATTTAACAACTTACATAAGCCGTAACGACTTTGGCAAAAGGGGTGGCAACAAACTTAATATTCTATCATTGATAACTTCTTGAACAAGGCCGTGGAGTGAAACTTCGCTATGCTGCAGCATCACACACTTTAATATGTACCGGTAATGGTACATGGGAAAATTATACGTATACGTAAAGTAAAAACGGATGAATATAAGGATACAGAAGTTCAGGAGACCGCAGTAAGATGTTAGTGCGTCTAACTCTCATGTTGCCACGCTAGGTGTTCAAATCGTGGAATTTTGTGAGATTTCAACGTGTTGCCCCTTGGCGCGATGAACCTTTAATTTTGACGCTGTCGATCTTTTCGATTTGCTTATCCTGTTGGGATGGTCTATCAAACGTGTTTCCGTGATGGCTCAGGGGTATAAGCTGGAACACCCCAGAAACGTCACAAACTTAAAATACATAATCACGCCGCAGGTCTATCAAGCGTTGGGCAAGCGACTGGGTCTGCTGGAGAACAGGACCCCCTCTACTACAAATATTCACCGACCGCATTCCTTGGAAATGGTAACTTATTGGTCAGGACAATAGTATCCATAGTGTGGGTGGATAATATGGCCATGTCGCCCTTATTGTAGGCACTGCCTGACATCATCAAATTAATTGTCTCATACACTACGAATTGTCGGTACAGGTCAAGGCGCAATAACGGATATTCAGTACGGAAACCACACAGATTATACTGGCAGCGCTTGGTGTGGACCATGAAATTTTGGTCAAGAGCATCGAAAAGCGTGATTGGGTTCGTTAGGGGCATGCAGAAGGCAGTGCGTTTGTAGATCTGTCACATGATCACATCAGAGCATTTTTGTGTTGTGATTTAGTGGTCTGTTGTATTTTATTTATATATTTATATAACCCCCTGTAAGATATTTTAATTTATTTTTTTGCTTTCTACATAAAATTTATACATTTTATACAGCTGATTATTGCTGGAATTCTCCGTGTTTAGGATTGTTGATTGATTGGTTGAGGGTTTGTTTGGTGGTCATCAAAGTGGTTCGTACTAGGCGACGTGTTGGATTACTAGGGTGGGGCGTTGAAGCTTGAGCTAGAGGATTGGTGTGGAAGGAGAGCTTGGAATGGATGTTAACGTGTTTTTTCAAGTCCGCCACGAAGGGATGTCTAGGTCATTGTGAATGGTTTGGTTATTAACGTAGAAAGGACCGTTGAGGATGCTTGATAGAAGACTTTTTATAGAAAGAATTGGATTCTTTGGAAGTTGGATGGCTTGGTTATCCATTGGTCTAATTAGTGTTTTATGTATTGTTCATTTATTGTATGTACTCACGGCGGAATTGGGTCCAAGTAGGCGTCCGAATCGTCCGTACCTTCAGTTGAGTTCTGGCCTGTTATGTTTGATATGTGTGTTCCATGTAAGCCTGCTGTCCAAGTAGTTGGTTCGATGAAGGGATTGCCTTGCTGTATATGTGCACTGGTGGGCTTCTAATTGTGAACATCAGGTGCAGGTTCTTTTCATTTAGCTTGATGCGTTACCTAGTGCACGAGTCAGTAATGAGATCAAAGTTATATTGGGATGGTTTTGCTACAAGAATATGGTCAGAATGTAAGGGGATTACGGTTGTGATGTGAGCCGTGGTATGTCAGCCGTGTAAACTGTGCAGAGGACTGGTCCGAGGATACCACCTTGGCGAACGCCGTCCTTGTTGGGCTTGATGTTTCCAGGTTGGCGAGAGCCAGCGATCCGAGGGAAAGGACTTCACGATGAGATAGTGGGGAAGGATATTTTAATTTGAAAAGGAGACTGGGGTACTCCAGTGTGATCCTAACTACCCCTAACTGCCCAGGGAGAACAAGAAGCAAAAAGAAAAGATTATAAAGTAGTCTAACATCTCGTCCCCGACATCAAATGGCTTGGACGTTAAGACCAGTATGGCATAAATTACATTAATTTACTTTTTGAAATAAAAAAAGGTTTCTACTGTTAAATCTTGCTCGACTTCGTATTGTTTAACATTTATTAAATATTAAAACGAAAACTGCTAGAAACGCGCTGGTACTGCCGATCCATGATAATTTGATGTAATTCGTTCCATAAAATTGTTGCTTGGCATTTTAAAAGTTTTTCTCCCACTCAAGGAGATCTTGTAAAAATCACCGAATGGCTCTATAATTTACCATTTAACGAAAAAAGCATCTAAACCTTAGAAAAACTTGATTCACAGTCGCAATTTTGCTGTCATCGGACAAGAACAAAAAAGTACACGGTATTTATTGATTAGTTATGAAAGTTCATGTCATAGGCTGGTCTTTGATGAAAATTGCCTCAACTATGATTGATACTTATGAGTTTCATGACACATATTGTCACCCGCACCGGTTCCATGACAGTTTCTTCAGTACGGCCAAACTAGTGCCTTATACGCCGTAATAGTTTTCGGATAGTTGCCGTCGTCTAATTTAAGTTCCGTCAATCGCCAAAAGTAAAAACAAAAAGGCCAATTTTTTAAGTGTTGTGAAGATATTTTATCTTAGCGTCGCTTTGATTGAAGGACGTTTCGGGCGGTTCTTTATCTCGGATTTTCGACAGGGTTCGAGAAGTGAGTGGGTGACGAGTCAGGTCTACTTGAGACACTCGACTAGTCAGCACTTCTGCGCCCATTGTCCCCGATCCGTACACTAAGTCAGTCAGACTTCTTACCTGCCCTTATTCATTTCAGTCAGGTTGACGTTCAATCGTTTCTCCTAGGGCGGAAGCAACACTTGTCTTTTTTTTACTCTTTAATCATTGATGATTTTATTTGCAGGTCGCGACCCCCGAAGACGGCCAGTCGACGACTCCTCTACCTCAGGACTACGACAAAATGAGGTTACTCCAAAAAGCTTCCAGAGTCGCAGCCAACACGTTCGAAGAGACAATACACAGGGTGAGAGAGATTTCTTTTCTGTCCTATTCCGTCTATGAAAAACCGTATAGTAAAATTTTTGCGAGCACTTCTCAACAGGACGATAATTTCAGAAATTATACTCGACGAAAAAACACCCGAAAAATGAAAACTTAATATACATCAGTAATACCAGTTACTTAATATACAGTCAACAACAACTGTAATTTTTTCGTACAGGATTGAAAGGAACCATCGTTAAAAATCGGCAGCATGCTCTATCGATTTTTTCAATGTTATGAATAATAATCTTTATAGGCTAATTTAGCAGATTTACAAAGCAACAATGACATGTATTAAATCCTTATTAAGATAAAAATGATAAAATTTTCGTTAAAGATCCGACAGAATAATTGACTAGGTCAATATTTAAATCATTGACTGTAGAGGAAGCACTGAAAGGCAAGGCCACCAGACTCTGGTTGGTCCCTTGCCTATAATTGACGACTCACTGTTATGACTGATGGAGATATTTGATATTCCACCAATGGCCCTCACAGTAATTGAATTATTTACAAATAACACATTATATAATATACAATATAAATAAATGTATTCTCTGATGTATTGGATCTTCTTGACCTCAAGAAAATCCAATACATCAGTTTAAACTACGGAGGGTCGATCAATATCAACTAGAAATGTATTCTCATAACACACGTACACACCACGTATATTCAATTTCTATATGTGAAGTAACACATTTCTTAAGTACGAGATAGAGACAGGACGCAACATTTGATCTGCTGGCTCAAGTACCATCTTTTCGTCAGTCCCCATGTAAGGGGTCAAGGCACAGAACCCTTTGATCAGATGACACCTGCGCTGGTTTTGACCCAAAAGCAGGTGTCTGTCTGACAGGCAGATATGGCCGATCCTCAGGCGGGTTAACACGATTCTTTCCTTTCGTTTCAGACTGTCGGATCGTTCAGTGCTCTTAACCAGCAGGAGCTTATGGTATGACCCGGCCCACTCACATGGCCAACGCATTATGTGCTGCTCGCACATCATCGGACCGAATCGTCCCTTGTCTTCTCGTTCGTTACCCTTTATCCCGACGTGTCCTTGTACCTTCCACTTTTCAGAGAATCTCCAGCTCAGCATATCTCTAAAAGGTTCCCGACAAAATGGTTCACGGAAAATCTGTTCTGATTTGAGGCCCCGAGCGCGTGCCAAATCGCATACAGATCTGCCGTGTACAAGCTGCAGTGCTTCGGGCATTTCACCATCTTCAGTGTGTGATTTCAGAAGAGGTTGAACAGCAAGAAACAAATCTTGTATAAGTCTTCCTGCGGCCCCTTTGGACATACGGAGTTGAACTGTGGGCTTCTGCCATGCCATCCAAATCCAGCGCATCGAATCAAAAGCCCTCAAACAAATCATCAAAGCTCTTTCCTACATCACTTACTTCACTATCCACAACGACCTCAACTTAAGTTTTTTCAAAGAACTGATAAGATAGCTGATAAAGTTGATAGACACCAACCTCCTGGTCCATCTAACCCTACTGCTCAAGCTCTTTCTACACAGTCCCATCCTGAGAACGCTCGGACTCCTCCTTGTCCCTTATATCCCTCACACTCAGAGCCAGAATTGGATGGTTTCTCATGGCATATATCACCCGGGTGCAGCTGGCATTAGTGTTTTCGGTGTGACCTTGTGAAAACGTTTTGCGATCATATTTGTATCGACAAAAGATTTACTAAGCTGATTAACTGATCGATAAAGGCAGGTTGTTATGGAACCGATGATTCATCGAGATGCAGTGTTAGCCGATTTTCTTATGTGTGTTATTCATAGCATTGTGTTCGAGTGTTGTTTACTCGAGGCGGATGGAACAGAACCTCATCTGTTATTCAAATTTTTATCCCGGGTGAGTGTATTGCCGAAGTTTAATCAATTAAACGTTGTTACGAATGAAACTGCTACTAGGATAAAATAGTCACAGAAAAAAAACATGGGATGATAAATTGCATATTTTTCCCTCATGCCCGTTGGTAGCGTGTTTTCTATGTTTGTATGCTAAAATGTGATGTGTTGTTTTGTTTTTTTGCCGACCGGGGCCTGGAATTAGCCATTATTTGACCTTCCTGCTCCTGATGGGCAGTTTGTACGCGAGGAGATGGATGCAAGTGTCCATGAATTATCGAGTGGTACAGTCAAACCCGATCGAAATGCCGGACGTGATCTGAAACCGCTGGAACGCCCAGGTGAACCCACGGACGATTTCCTCCGTCTCCATGTGAAATCGATGGAACCGTCGAGGTGGAATGTCCGTCCATTTGTTAAAAAGAATGTGTCGATTAGAGTCGCGAGATTTAAAATCTGCTATGCGGAGAAGACGTAATAACATTTTAATGAGGCTATAAACTCTTGTTTTTTTCTCTGCCCGTGTTATAGTCCAAAGCATTTTCAAGAGGAAAAATTAAAGCTGAAACTGTTTTATTAATGTCCCACTTTCTCGAGGATAACGAGACAGAACTGGATGAAAACTGGAAATAATGTCCTTTATTTTATTTATTTCCTTATCCATAAAATGAAATGTAGTGTGGATTATCCTTTATTTAAAACCACGTTGTGCTTTTTTCTGTATTCTCGAATCTCTGAGTTTTTCAGTATTTATCAATTACTGTAATAAAAATTGGCATTAAAGTAAAACAAATATTCGTGTAGCCATGAAAAAGACAAAAATTCTACAATTGAGACGAATATTAATTAACGAAAGATAATTTTTGCCTATGCTTTTATATATTGTTTGGCTATTGCTTTTACTAAATCTTTATGAGCAAACAGTTGTAAATAATTGTTTCTGTTTCAGCTTAAAGTGCAAGAAGCGATGAAGAAGAAGGAGAAAATCGATCGAGAACACGAAGAGGTATGGAAATACATCGACTATGATGATAAATTACATAATTTGACCCTTTTGAATAGTCGTACATTATGTTAATGATAGCAGAGACCAGGCATCTGTGTCTAAAATGTCACGAATTTCTAAGTGTTTTGTATAAAACCGGGTATTGCGATTGAAGGACCGCTGTGGCGCCACGCTAACGGTCCTGGGTTCGACTCCCATAGCCCACGGATTTTTAATTGTGAATAATATGGACAACATTGCGTCAGCAGGCATCCCTAGAACCTTGTCTTCTTGAAGTACCTACTGACTAAAAAGTCCCTACTGTCCAAAGTCTGATTTTCAACTTACTTCAACGATAAAAAAAAACCCATAACTTAAAAAATATTAATCCTTTAAATTTGATTACATGGAGGGAAAGAGCATTAAAAACTAGGTAAGAGTCATTTTTTATTGTAAACAAAATTCAAAATCAGTTAGAAGATAAACTTTTAAGAGTTTCCAAAGTTCTTGTCTAAGTTTAGATAAGATAATAGATATTTTATGAGACATGATGGAATTTATGGAAAAAAAGTTGTGTAAGGTTGAACTAACACAAAAAGTGAAATATCAATCTTTAGAGCACCTTCCAATCGAAGGATAGGAAGCTAAATTTTCCTTCGAAGTTCGAACGAAGTCCAACTTGAAGTTTGTGCGGAGAGAAAAATAGTCACCATCCGATTCATGGCCAGTACTCCTGGAGGAAATAACTTTCAGCTCAGTTATGAATCTTTAAAGATATCGCTTTTGTTAGTGGGCGCCCATACAATCCCCGCATATTCCAAATGCAATCGAACCTAGAATTGAAATAAAACCTTTAAAACGAACGTATTATAAAAAATAAAAATAAAAAAATGGAATCCTGGAGACTGAAAGTACATTATTAGCGAGAATGTAGTGGGTTCGGTCCCACCCCGAGCAATATCGAGTACTCTGGGGAGGGTTTGTATAGGGTGATGATAATGGTGTGCGTGTGTGTGGGTGTGTTGTATGTGTAGGGTCCATTCTGTATTATAGGATTGGGGTTAGGGACAGACTGTTTTTTATAACTGACTGGCCAGGTTCAGATTGTTAATCAACGTCCATAGCCTGGCCAGCAGCTTCTTAGTGTAGGATCTTGTTTGCTGTTTTTGCTAACCTAGTTGCAAGAACCTGCACCTACATTGACCATCACAGAAACATAAAATGTGTTCTGCGGTCTCCTCCTCTTCATGACAGTATCAGTACAGTGTTTCTTCTGTCTGTCCTCCTATCCGGCTTTTTTAAGTGGCAGTTCCCTGTCAGGAATCCAACCTTCCTGGTTCGGTTGCGGTTTCTTTCCAGTTATTCTTTTGTAAGTTTTGTGGATGGCCCTTCTATGAATCTCTTAGCGTGCATCATGCCTGTGGCATTGTTCCACCAGGTTTTGGAGCCATTAAGGATCCATTGTAAGATGTATCCTCTTTTGAGGCTGGATGCTAAGCGACAGTAGGGTTCAGGCCTAGAGAGTCCTGTTGTATGCACCGAGTGCCCGTGGGACCAATGACATGGTCAGATCATTAGTGTCGCTGACTTCCGTGCAGTCCCAGACACTCTTTGCGTTCATCTCGCATCTAGCTTCATGCTTGATGGTCTTTAGTGCTGCCTGACTGTCAGAGAAGATGGCTATCTCCGGGAATGTATTCTTAGCCTTTTTATTTCTCTTGCGCAGTGTTCAATCGCTATAATTTCAGATTTGAAAACTGTAGCACATTTACCTAGATTTACCGTCAGTTCGGTCTTTGGGTTCATCCCGAAGACTCCAGCTCCCGTGTCCTTGACGGTTTTGGAGCTGTGTCAAAACCAGTAGGTGCTTCACTTTAGCGGTGTTCCTTTGGCCCATTCTTGCCGTTCTGGTATCAGCACCTTGTACTTTTTAGTCAAATTGTATTTTGGAGTAGTGGCATCGCTTGGCAAGCCTAATATGGCATCGGCCTGTATCTCCTCCCCCTCAGTTTCCATTGTTTATTTACATGGCCTATCCTTGAGATGGTTGTCCATTGATGAGCCTGCGGGCTTCTGCTCTGGCTTCTCCTTAGATTAAAATATGAAGTGGTGGGAGGTTTAACAACACTTCCAGGGCCGCAATCGGCGTTGTGCACACTGACACAGTCCCCCTTGTCTTTGGGTGCCATTTAATAGCCTGAAGAGGCTTGGCACACCACCGACTCATATGGCAACATTGGTCTTAAGACGCAGGTATACAGGCGTAGGGTCATTTTGGGGTTTAATCCCCAGTTCTTGGCGCAAAACCTTCTGAATCTTCCAGGAATGATTCCTAGCCTTTTCATTTCCCTGGAGCAGTGTTCATTTAATCAATTCTACATTATATAAAAAGTGGTATACATTTAAAATCGGATCTGTAACTGATTGAGACGCTCAAATGGCTTCAGTTTGAAAAATACACGTGGAAGACCAGGAAAAAGAAGTACAAACAAGCAGAATTCCATCGATGACCTCAGGTGTTTGTCGTCCCTAAACTTCCCACATTGTGTATATGTAAACCAATTAACGCTAATTCTATGTTGTCAGGGGTAATAAATCGTTTAGAGAAGAAAAAATTAGTACCTCGTAGAAATAAATTTGGAACGTTTTGGTAGGCCACTTGGAAGCGTACAAATTTTAGCCTTGAGAAAACGAAATCATGAAACATCAAAACGGTGGACTTCACATGATGGTATTTGTCCCAGTGTTTCCGCTCGGGCTGCTTTCCAGCTGAGCGGAGGGAACAACGTATGCTTGGAACCCATGCGCATAGCTATGCATAATTGCATTTACTCGGCTACGCAATCATGATCATAACCGAGTATCAACAGATTAGCCGCGTTAAGCTGTCCTGCGACCGCCACCCCGGAACCTTGCCTGCCTTCGAACCTGATTACCCGCCGTCCTTAAATTTAATACTAGGAAGGAAATAATAATTTTACAAGCTACAAGTGCACAATAGATAAAACTAGACACATTTTTTGTCATGTTGAGACTCTAATGGAATTAAAAAGGTCATCATAAAATAGAAAAACAACGATTAAGTAATTAAAGCAATCCTTATTTTGTCAAGAAGAGAAGCTTTTCAATCTAAACCTAATATTTACACTGTAAAAGCTATTTTTAATTATAAATTATCGACGTTTTATGATTATGTCACTATTAATAACAGAAAGTTTGATTTGATTTGAGGAACATTGTTTTAGCGGATCGTAAGATACACTTTTTTTCATTAAAAAGTTTAAAAGTTAAAGTTGTTGTTTTATCAGTTAACTTCGGTTATTAAATTCGACGAAAAAAAAATAATTCTCATCACGAGTATTCAAAAATCAGATAAGATTTGGCGAGGTTTTCAAATATAGTCGACAAGCAAATTTTTGATGTCCACAAAAGTACATCGCAGATCAATCCAACTTGGAATTTCAGAGGACTTACTTAAATGAAATGGACGATACGAACTTGAAATCATTTATAACCAAGTCCGTTAAGTCTCCTCGAAGTCTAGTCACCCTCTCGTACTTGGGACTGACCCCCGTCTTCACCCTCGCCACCACCCCCGTCTCGACGAATAGGCTATGAACGATCACTTTTCTTTATACGAATATTATTTTCCGGTTGTTACAGGCTGTAAACAATACAAAAAACGTAATCAAAGTTATAAAAATCTATTTTCCCCATTTATGTGCTGTCAAGAATTTTTATTGTTGTTTTCCCTCTTAATTTCCAGGGAAAAGGAAAAAGCTAATGTAAAAAAAGAATAGATTTACGGAATTGGCCAAAGGGAAATCCTCTGAATCGTGCAACCGGAGTCTGGTTGAAGGGGCGGCAGAGCGAGACGTTCCAGGCTTGTTTAGAAACGATTGTTCTCCGATCGATCCCCGAACCTTTGCGAGAACCGGTAATGTCACCTAATGTCAGGCCGATCCGCGAGAAAGGGAAAAAGGTGGCCCCTCCATTCAAAATCTGGAATCGAAAGCTTCGATCGAAAAAGGGAACAAACTGGATTTTCCTCTAAAACCCGCGGAGAGAAAAATCCGACCTTTACCCGTTCTGTTTTAACGACACTAGGAGACAATTTTTTGGCAAATATGAATAAACCCAAAACCAATAACATCCAACACTCAGCAATGGGAACAAATTTCCATGACTGCATTGGATCTGTAGACGTGAAACATATTCGAATCGTTCATCCGATTCTCATGGTATCCGTAGTAGTGTTGATGGTTTTAGCTGATGCTACATATTTATTTACATTGATGTTGGCAGTTATAATAAGAAGAGAAATTCCTTTCTTGAATTCCTAGTGCACATACATCTTCTACGGTCATTTGTGAAGACATCAGTTGACAATTGAAAGAGGTTTTAAGGCCTATTGAGATTAGGTCAGGAGACGGGACAGGTTAGGATAAGCCGGATTAAGTTCGCATTAAGGACCGGGACAGGTTAGGGTTAAGGACGTATTAGGTTAGAGTTAAGCGCAGGTTAGGTATGGTTAAGGAAGATTAGGTTAGAGATGAGGTTAGGTTAGGTCGAGTAGCGTTATGGACGGAGTGTTCTTTGTGGAAATCACTACTGAAAAAAGGAACTCAGAATCCCAGAAGAGAAATTCCTTTCTTGAATTCCCAGTGCACATACATCTTCTACGGTCATTTGGGAAGACATCAGTTGACAATTGAAAGAGGTTTTAAAACCTTTTGAGAGCTCGAAGATCCTTAGAATGCTCGTTTCGAGTAATGAGAAAGAAACCTAAGAGCAAAACCGTACACAATTTTTGAGAAGTCCCGTGCATTCTATTTGTTTCCTTCCACCTGTACTTTTCGGTATAGTAACTGCTCCTAGGTCCAATTAGTCAGAAAAAAAAAACCTTACCCAAAATCATTCCAAACTGAAAATAGGACCATAATGTACAATCTTCTCGCGGGTAATTAAACAAAAGGCAAATAAACATATATTGAAGTAGATTGTTCACGGTCTGGCGGCAA